ATCACCACAGTCCAGTATGCAGTCTGGTTATAAATCCCTTATCAAGTATGTGATTTGCAGATATGTTCCTCCATTCTGTAGATTGCTTCCTCGTTTTCATTGATGGACCAGTTCTTTTTACTATGATGAAATCTAACTTACATTTTTTTGTTGCCTATGCATTTGATTTCATTTCCAGGTAATCTTTACCATTTTATAATGTTAAAGCTTTTTATTTTTTTTTCTAAGAAGTTTATAGTTTTATTTCTTGGGTCTTTGCTTTTATTTAAGATTTTCAGTGTGAACTAATATGTCTCAATGACTTCTTAAAACTAAAATTAGAACATCAGCCAGGAGTAAATGGCACATGCGCTTAATCCTAGCACTTAGGGGGCAAGAGGTGGATTTCTGTGAGTTTGAGGACAAGCTGGTCTACATAGTGAGTTCCAGGCCAGTCACAGTTACATAGTGAGACCCTGTCTTAAGAAAAACACACACACACAAATAATAAAATTAGGATATTAATTCTTGTTAACAACAATTATTAGAATCATAATGTTGTTTTCCAAGTTATTCTAAGTGCTTTGAAGAATCAATATATAATATTTGATGTCAGCATATGTGTGTATCTGAGTGTTAGTCCTGATCTGCCTGCCACTTAATGAATGTATAACTTGGGCAACTTACTTCATTTCTTTTCTTTTTCTCCTCCTCCTCCTACTTCTTCTGTTTTCGTTACAATGGTAGGTTTTTTAAATTTATTTTTATACCTTATATTTTTAATTTTGAATTTAATTTCTATTCTTTTTTAATTAATTAATTAATTTATTTATTTATTCTTATTTTCTGTGCATTGATGTTTTACCTACATGTATGTCTGTGTGAGGGTGTTGGATTTCCTGGAACAGGAAATAGCAGGAGTTACAGACAGTTGTGAGCTTCCTGTGGGTTTCTGAGAATTGAACCTGTGTCCTTTGGAAGAGCAGAGAGTGCTTTTAACCACTGAGCCATCTCCCCAACCCTAATATTTTTAAATATATTTTAAAAGCTTAACATTAAAAAGAATGGCGTTATTTTTTCCCCTTCCCTTTCTCCCCTCTAGTCCCTCCTGTGTTGTGTACTCTGCTTGCTCCTGCTCAAATTTATGGCCTCTTTTTCTTTCATTATTGGTCTTGCTCTCTCTTTCTATCTATAATTCCTAAATGTATATAAATATAACCTGATTAGTTCATATGATGTTAGTTTTGCATATATATTTTCAAGGCTGACCTTGGTACTGGATAGCCAACTGGGCATCTCTTCCCTGGGGAAGTCTGTTTCTCCCACTCCTAGCAGTCCTTGGGTTGGGGTCTGGTGAGATTCCCCCCTCTGGATTAGCATGTCTGTTGGGGTTGTCTTCATTCAGGTCTTGTTTAGGCATGGCATTGGTCGTTGAAATCTCACAGCAAACTTCCTGTTTCTCTGGCTCTTACAATCTTTCCACCCTCTTTTCTGCTGTGGTCTCTGAGCCTTAGTTACAGGAGTGTGTCGTATGTGTATCAGCTGGAGCTGGGCATCCCACAGTCACTTGTTCACTGCATTTTGATGGGTTGTGGGTTTTCTGTAATTGTTTCCCCTTTGTTGGAAAGAGAAGTTCCTTGGATGAGGGGGTCTCTGTGCTTGAAGGGTTGTTGTTGTTGTATTGTTTTGGCAATATGATAACAGTAGAAAATAACCCATAGAATGTTACAAAAATTAGATGAGAACATGTATATAAACTTCTATAGTATGCCTAGTATATAGTAAAACACTAAGAAATGCTGAAAAATGCTGATATCTAGGATGTGAGAAACTAAAATGGAGGGGAAATGACCTATAAGGACACTTGGTTTGGAAACAGAAAGGCAATTGGTTATATATGTGTTATTTTAAATTATTTTAAACACAATTAAAAGTTATGTGTATATTCATGTGCCTGAGAGTATGTATATATTCCGTATGTGTGCAGGAGTCTACGGAGATCAGATGAGGGTATCAGATGTCCTGCAAATGGAATTACAAGCAGCTGTGTACAGTCCAGTGAGGGTGCTGGGAACTGAACCTGGATCCTCTGCAAAAGCAGCCAATGCTCTTAATCCTTAGTCCTCCCTCCAGCCTGCATCTTACATCCTTAACGATGTGGTCCTTGTTACTGTTCACATTTGCATTTGTAGGTAAAGAATGGAACAAATTTTCTCTTTATTACTTAGAGTTATTAAGACTGTGTTTCAGGGTTTGTTGGGTGTATGTCCATCTCCTCTGTGTGACAGGCCCTATGGCATTTATAATTCAGAGATAGAAAAAAAAAAAAGGGCCTGCAATTTCAGGGAGCTGTTATTCTACTTGAAAACGAGTCAGTAAACAGATTGCTTGGCGTTCAAGCCAGGGAACAGTAAATCGGGAGGCTCTCTGTGTGCTTGTGCCTGACTATTAGGGCATTAGGTTGATCACTAAATACTTTGTAAAGGACTAAGAGTGTCATCTAAGCAAGCTTTTCTAGGAAAGGCAGAGCTGCCATTCCCTCTCTGGCAATTCTCGTGGGAAATGCCATATTTGAACCTGAATCCCTGTTCATAGTTTACTAAATTACAGTTGAGGGTCTGGTTCTTTGGAAAGAGCTCATGGACATTTTATCCAGCAGGGTCATGGACATTCTAGGAGGCTTATCCCCTTCTGCCAGGTTTGTTTTTAAGTAAAATGTGGGAACGCCTAGAGGGATTGGGGGTGGGGGTGGGGGAGATGAGCAGAGGCTGTGAATTAAATAGGTTCCTGGTGACACCGCCTCCAGCCAGATGGTGTACAAGGACAAATCCATTTTAATGAGCATTTCTCCAGTTGCTGAGCAGAGCTCGAAGCTGTCTTGTTGAATGAGAAAGGGCCTCTGCCTGGACTTGGGGGTCTGTCCAGCTGTTTTTCTACTCTGATCATTCAGTGGTGCTTCCTCAGGCCCTGTGTCAGGAGGGCCTGTTCTCATCCAGTGGATTGTGTTTTCTCATTCTGCCATCCCACGACCCAGCAAAATGTGCTATGGGGCCAAGACTTAGTTGAGTAACGTGGCTGTGAGTCCATAGAACTCTTGTGGCTCTGGCCTGTAAAGGGGTGTTTTCTTCATTCTTGACACTGCTCCCTTTTGCAGGTTCAAAGCTTCACACACCCTGGTACACACTGTCCCGGTCTCTTGTGTCTATGTTATCTGTTCTAAATCTAAGAAAAAAAATCTGCAGACTAAGGGTTAGATATTGTTCTCTGTTGAGACAACTAAGGTTGTCCTTGGACTAATGAAAGTAGCTAAGAATGACCTTGAACCTCTGATACTCCAGTCTCTACTTTCTTGAGTGTTGGGAATAGAGAGGTGTGCTACCATCCCTGCTGGACAAGATATTTAAAGGCTCTTAATGGAGACTAAAGGCAGGAATGTGATGAATAAATATATCATGTCTAGGCCATTCAGTTGGGCAAGTGGTGCTGTAGACTTCGAAAGACTGGATACTGGGAAATATCTACTCATACAAGGAGAACACTGCCTAGGAGTCAGAGAGAGGTTTTTTGTTTGTTTGTTTTGTTTTTTGTTTTTTATCTATCTGTAGTTTCTATGATTGTGCAAAATACCCACCAACCACACTGCTTCTTACTTTCAGCACAATGTTCAGTGAGTTACCTAAGACTCTGACAGTACTTTATAAAAATAGTGCTAGTGTGAGGTGATGTTGCTCAACTCAAGGCCGATGCCAGCATCTCAAGCATGTTTGAGGTAGGCTAAGCAAAGCTATCATGTTCAGTAGGATAAAAGAACTGAGTGTATTTCACTTTTCTTTGGGTTTTTGAGACAGTTTCTCTACGTAGCCCTGGCTGTCCTGGAGCTAACTCAGTTCAGTACTCTAGACTGGCCTCAAACTCAGAAATGTGCCTGTCTGTGCCTCCTGAGTGCCAGGTCAAAGGTGTGCACTACCACCACTGGGCTTCATTTATGATATTTTCAACTTACATTGAGTTATTGGACTATAAGTCCATGCTTCTTTTAAGTCTGTCATTGAAAATAGTTCAGGGTCAAACTGAACTTGGAAGGTTGTCTGAGTCCTAAAATGATACTTTGAGTAAGTATTACCATAACTGACTTTTACCAAGTCCTGGCTCTGATGTCAACATTCTGGAGGTTCTGTTGGTTTTTGTTTTTGGTTTAGGGCCAGTAGTGTAATTAACCAGATATTTTCTTCCTCATGTGAGTAAAGGGAACATTGCCTTTTTTTAAAAAAATTATTTTTTAAAGAAACTAAGTAACTTGTCACTGAGAGACTGTTTTTCACATCCAAAGTTCAGAATCTGCCTGTTTAGAATCGTACTTTTCTGATCTTCAAAGCAGAAGACATCAGGTGCAGGAAGACCCCTGGTCTGAAATTCACATCTCTAGAGCTCATTTTAGACTAGCACCGATAGATTGAGCCAGTCCTGGCTCCTCTCTGGCTTTCAAGATTGGGCTTGATAAGTTCTCAGAACACCAAATAACCACTGCAGGTAGCCCTATAGTTCCTGAATCTAGTTAAAGGTAACAGCATAGTCCTTGTCTGTGCTAATGCGTAAAGGGGGGAGTGTAATCACTGTCCCTTGGTGGGCAGGCCTTGGGGGCTTTGGGAAGACTGAGAGAAAGGGAACTGATGCAAGATGTTACAACCTCAGAGTCAGAGAGGGAAATGAGTCTAATCTTAATGAGCAGCTCAGCTGGAGGGGCTCTAATGGCCTTGTTGAGAATGGGAAACGCCTGAACTGGCTGCAGGAACCTGGGAGGTAGCTGACTGCTGCTTGCTTATTCAAACATTACAGCATGTCCAAACTGGAGAGGTCTGAGGCAGATGGTATCCCAGGTGCCCCAGGTGGAGGGTGGGTTGCTGACCTGAATAGAGCTAGTGTGTGGCAGGTGCAGAAGCTGGAGCTCTGGAGCCCTGTCAGCAGGGTGGCTTCTTAGTTCAAGAACAGTTTCCTTACCTTAATTGGCTCTCTAGGGCCCTAGGAGTAGCATTGGCACCTCTGAACAGTCCCTGTTACTGGGAGAGCAATTCCCCTGGTGGTTGGAAAGAGGTAGGTCGTGTTTGGGGGTGGGGGGTGGGGATGTGCTTGCTACACCTGGGAAACTTATGGCTATAGAAAGATTTCCAGAGGGAGGAAGTTCAAGGTAGCCATGACTGATAGGCATTTTGGAGTGACTGCTTGTCACTGGATCTTGCATTGAATAGGAAACTAGCTGTGCGTAAGTACAGTGGAAGCCAGACAGCAGGAAAAGTCCTCAGATTTCATCTCTACCTGTTTGCTGCACAGATGGGGCATCAGGAGTGCAGGAAGGGCCTAGAAAACTGCTGACGGTCACATGATTGGTCATTTGCAGAGCCAGAGAGTCAGATTCCGCTTCCTTGCCCGGTAACCCTAGGCTCGTTTGGGCTTGTGGGCTACAGATCTATATAGGCTGCTGCCAAGGCCAAGTCGGTGGGGTCAGTGGCTTTGCAGGGAGTATGTATATCTTCCTTTGTGTCAACCACTAAGATTTTGTGTGAAAAGTGACAGAGGTACTATGGGTTCAGTGAGAGTCAACCAAATGAAGCGAGCCCAGACTCGGCCTGCATTTGTATCTACTGTGGGTATGTTCTTGGTACAGAAAGCTGGCATCACACCCCAGGTGCTTTGACAGAGAAGGAGGTTGTGAAGGCCAATGACCAGACACATCATACCTTCCCCTCTGCCCTCAGCAGTCACCTGGCCAGCAGGCTCATGTTCTGGATCTTGCTTTAGATCAGCTGTTGGCCCTTCCTCCCAGTTTCTGGGTGGTCCTAGCTTAGCTTATTCTGTCTTGTACTGATATTTGTCCTGCCACTGGGGATTATGCTTCCAAACCCTCTACTTTAAACCTGATCACTCATCTAACTCTAAGCCTGCACTGTTGGCTACCTAAAGACTCTGAAATTAGAAGCTGGGCCTAGTGGCCCAGGCCTCTAATCTCAGCGGCTCAAGAGACTGAGACAAAGGTATTGAAGATTCAAAGTCTGAATGGGCCACAGGGGGAATTCAAGGCTAGCAAATTCTGCTGCAAAATGAAAAGTCAAAAGAGGGCTAGGTACATAGCCCAGTAAGGGACTGTCTGGCATGCACGAGGTCCTAGGCTCATTCCCCAAAACCACAAAAGGAAGTCAAACGAGAAAGAAGAAAGGACTCAGCATTGGCTGCAGTTCAAGGTTCTTCCTCGTTTTTCCTCAAATTAAGCTTATAGCCTCATTTCATTTATTCCCTTGCATGTCCTAGAGGCCCCACGTTTTCACACTTATAACTCTGTGTGTGAAGCTCCCTCTTTCTTGTCACTAACAGCCTACTCATGTTTGAAGGCCTGCCTCCACTGGGAACCATTTACTACACAGCCGGAGAGCACAGGGGTGGGAGTGGGTTTAGCAACAAGCAGGACCCCGTAATCAGAATTGTATCCCACTGTGGAGGATGGAGCCATGTAAGGAGCTGCTGTTTTGAATTAGGGATAGGCTTCTTTTAATCTAAAAAGGACCAGATGATAGTTTTGGCTTTGCCAATCACAGAGTTTCTTTCACAGTTACTCAGCTCTGCCACTGTAACACAAAAGCAGCTCTGGTCAATATGGAAACCAATGACCCTGATTGTGTTCCAAGGACTCTTTCTTTCTACCCCTCTTTTTGAAATCGGGTCTCATGCAGCTCAGGCTGTCCTTGAGCTTACTAAGTAGCTGAGGCTGACTTTGAACTTCTGATCTTCCTGCCTCCACCTTCACAGTGCTGGGATTACACCAGTGCCTAGCTTACGAAGTGGTGGGGACTGAACACAGGGCCACTTGCACATAAACACTGATCTACTCTTCCCACTCCAAGAAGCTGTTTTCTTGACTGTATTCTTTTTTGACAAAAACAGGCAGACTGTAGTTCTGACCTTTGTTTTAAGGCACTGGAAAAAATGGTGGGTTTGAACATATTTGGCATCAAGTAGAAGTAACTTTGCAGGAGCTGCTTAGGATAGAAAAATATGGATGAAACTTCCAGGTTGGAAATAATGTTAGGACCAGGCCTATGGAGGTACAAGCAGGTAAGCAGGATAGAAGAATTATCTTTTTCTAGAACATAGAATGCTTGGAGGGGAGAAGTGGGGCTCTGGAGAGAAATTTTTGAGGGGTCTTGACAAGTCAGTGTTATCCTGCAGAGTGGGAGCCATTGTGATCAGTGAGGTGTGATCAGACCTATATTTTTAAAAGGCATCAGAACTATGTGGTGTGTGTGCACTCTTTTAATCTCAACACTCAGGCAGTAGAGGCAGGTAGGTCTCTGTGAGTTTGAGGCCAGCCTGGTCGATATAGCAAGTTCTACAACAGATAGGGTTACATGGAGACCCTATCTCAGAACAAAACAAAGCAAAGTCATTCTGGTTCTCACAGCACTTGGGAAGTAGAAGCAGGAAGATCAGGTCAACCTCAGGTACAGTTGTGACTTTGAGGCTAGCCTGGGCTGAATGAGAACCTGTCTCAATACACACACACACACACACACACACACACACACACACACACACCCTAATCTAAACTCCTCCAGAAACTGTATAGTGAGGACTATTTATTGTATGCAGGAAGGCTGCCTGGAGACTGCTGTGGCTGTCTAGGCCATTGCTTCCAGATTGTAAGTCCCTGGGCCAGTGCTGTCTGGATGTGTAAGAATGGTTTGGGAACCTTGCTGAAACGGCAGGTCCTGTATCTGAACCCAGAGAGGTTTGGGCTTGGTAGATTCAGGATTTCTAGAAAGCACTTCAGATTTAGAACTCACTAGTCCAAGGAAGTCAGGATGCTGTCTGATCTTTAGAGGTGTGGGCGCCAGAGAAAACATATTTTAAAAAGGATTTGGAAGTGGCCCTCTCCCTCTTCCCATACCTAGAACAACCCATTCTCTTGACTACACATACGCTAATATTCTCTGTGGAGCAACTCTTTTGACCCATTTTGACATTTGTTCCCACATTCTGGATCTCGTTAACATTCAACTGGATAAACTTCCCCTCTGACTTCTCTGTCTTTAGTCATAAAGCCTTGCTCAGTCAGGCTCTGAGAGCCTTTCTTGAGCTTCCTTTTCTTAAGATCAAGGTCGGATCTTTTGTTTAGCATTCAAGGCCCTTCAGGAGCAGCTGTCTCCCACCACTCCCCACCTCCAGTTGCTCTGTGCTGCTGTGATTGTCCTGTGACTCTCGGTGTTGTGCTAGCCTCAAGTCTTTCCTCCAACTCACTCCTGTTTTCCTTCCCTCTTTCTTCTGCTTGTGTGAGACTGTCTCCCTGGGGAATGGAGAGCTGCCGGGGGACACCTGCCAGGACCTTTATGCATTACAAAATATGTGTCTTCTCCAGCTGAAGTCCTAATCCTCTGCTTGTGACGGACAATTGGTCACTATGGCAACTGACTGTGACGTCACAGGATAAGGACTTCAGGTGAAGTAGCAGGAGCAGGTGAGTGTTTAGGAGACAGATTTTAGTGTCTGGCGGAGGTTCCCCACCCCCGGCGCTCTCCTGCAGTGCAGGGGGCTTGGAGGGATCTCTCCGGCTCCTGCCGTGTTTGAAAATGATGCGGTGAGAGTGTGTGCATGGCATCTGCGTGCTGCAGCAGTGTGGGGCTGACAGAGTGTGTCAACTTGAGCTCTGGCTGTGCAGGCACCGCTGCTGCGGGAGCCTGTTATTCCATTCTGGATTGCTATTTTGATACCCAGATTGCATCATTCTTCCTACGTATAAACAGGGGGTCCCCAGGGCCCTGCAGCTACTCACTTCTCCACCAACACTGTTGTTGTGATGAGCTCTATTTAAATGAGCTGCCGGATCGGGGCAGGTTCCAGCCACACATGAGCACTGTCATTTTGGGGAACATGGAGGGCCGAAGGATTTTTATGGATCCAGTCCTAAAAGGCTGAGAGTGATGGCCTCCCGAGCTGAGCAGAGGGCGACAGAGCTAGTTCCTGAAAGTTGAAAATCTCGTTTTCTTCCTTCTGAGCTTCTATTCAGAGGCACCCAGAGGATTAGGAAGGAGATGCAGCTAGGAAGAGAGGCGCCTCTTTGAGGTCTCCCTCTTGCTGCTCAGTTTGGGAAAATTGCTGCAGAGACTTGGAAATAAACAGGAACAGGAGGAGTCAACCTCGCTCTTTCTTGCAGGAGCATCTCAGGTGAGCTAGAGAAATGCAGCCCTGGCTGAGGATGCATCCCAACAAGGAGGGGCTCCAGGCTGCTCCCCAAAACCCATCCAGAACCCAGCTCCCTGAGCCTTAGGCCCTGTGGCCCAGCTGGCTTGCTGCATGCGGGTGGGTGCTCCTGGGTGCCCAGGGAGCACCATCCTTCAGGACTGGTGGGGGTCTCACCTGTCGCTCCTCTGACTTCTCTCCCAGGTGCTGCTCTAATTTCAGGGTGGCAGGTAAGCCTTCTGGCAGCCAGGGGCAGGACCGGCAGCCAACCTAGGTGTGTCTTGGATTAAAATCCGTCTTCCTAACAGGTACTGACGTCTGAAGAGCGGGTGCAGCCTGTTTCTTGAAGGCAATGCTGCTCTGAGCCATGGGGCAGTGGATGGCGTCAAGGGCTTGGGGGGGCTTACTTGGTGTGCTCAGCATCCTGAGGCTGCTGAGGGTGGGAGGGCACAAATGACTGGTGAGGCTGGCCAGCCTGCCTGAGCATGGAGTGCGCTATTTCCTTGCTTAGTGCATGGCAGAGGCAGAGCGAGGCAGGGTGTCTTACCTGTGGCTATGGAGGCCAGTCAAGGCTGCTCAGTGGTTTGAGGCTTTACCAGGGCAATGTAGTTTGAAGCTATGTCCCTGCCTCAGTTGAGGCCTTTGTGTCATCCTCCGTGTGAGGGGTGTTGGGAACAGAGAAGCTCTATCCAGCTTTGGACACTGGCAGAGGCACTTCAGGCTGCTTCTGTGGATCCCACTGCCAGGTCAGATTTTGGACTCCGGCAGTTTCATGGAGCCTGGACAAGAGATGAAGAGCGAAAGCTTCATAGGCCTTGAAGGTTGCTTAGTACTGGGCTTAATGATCACCGGGTGGGCTGGGCTGA